GGAGGAGGTTTCCGATGCCGGATATTACGGGGGAGGTTGAAGCTTTGTTGAGGAAGTGAGGATGATGCGGAATCTTGGTCTAGAGAAGGACTGTCCTTGGTAGGTGCTGCCGGTTCTTTTGGATTAATTAGAATATATGTTTGGTAGAGGTGTTCTGGTTCTTCTTGTTTTGAGCTGCATGATGTTTGGGTTTCCAAATCCGTCTCGCCTACTTTATACCGCTCGCAAGTTTGTAAAACCTTTTTTGGATGCTCATTCCCCAGCTGGACGGTTTCCCTTCTTTTGTCGTTCAGTTTAATAAAAACGCAAAACAGAAAAAAAGAAAAAAGAAGGCCCGCATGGGATTTGAACCCATATCTTCCAGGTGGTCGGACCGGACGTGCTTGCCAGTTGCACCAACGGACCACTGAAAAGGTTGCCAGTAAAGGGAACTTATAAAGCCCAGTTGGGGTTGGGCTGGCGCGGGGACGGTTTGGGGGGAGGCAGGAGGCAAAAGATGCATGAGGGGGAGGCGGAGGTGGCTGGCAGCTTGCAGGAGTGGCTGGCAACGCGCTCTGGCGAGCGTGGACAACCAGGATCACCAGGACAAATTACCTTCTTGAAGTCGCCGTCAGAACCTTCCATCCCGAACACCCAAGTGGGACAGTCAAGTTCTCCCTCGCGCTCGTCTTGTTCACTCGCAAGCCCATCTCCTCCAGGAAATCCGGCGTGATCTCCACGCCTGATGCCCACAACTTGTCCACCCGCCCGCTCAATCTCCGCAAAGGCTCGAGTACTTTGTGGAACTGGTTGGGCGGCCATGGCCAGTCCACCTTCCTGGGTACTGTGTGGCCACTCCTGAAACCTATTTCCATGGTTCCCGTGGCCTGGTTGACATCAGCCTGCAGGGCGGCCAGTTGGTGGCAACGGCGTACGGGATGAGATTTACCTCTGTCTCTGTATTCCGGTGATGGGTGTGAGGAGTGTAAGTGCAGAGAGATCGCCAGCTTGTGCCGTTCCTTTTCGTCAACCTCGTGGTCTTCTGGCAGGAGAAAGGTGATGGTTGAGTCAACTATGTCGGCGAGCTTGGCCATTGCCTCGGCGTCGTCACTTTTGGTCGGAGGAGAGGCGATAACCAGGTGTACGTTTCGCAAATATTGCGCTGCGCGAGGGCCGAGAGGTCCAAGGAGCCCGAAAGGTGCCTTTCCCGGTTCATTGTCCGGCTCGGATCGCGCAATGATGCGTGGCACGGATTCCCACTTGATGAAGTCCTCCGACTTGGTCCAACTGAATAGGATTGGCGATGTGGTCTGGTGGAAGGAACGTATTGTCTCCAAAGAACCGCTCGTAGACCAGCTCTTGGAAGAATCGGTTGGTATTTGCGATGGCCAGCAGATGCGCGGAGCCTCGGGCGACTGGAGCAGTTGCGTTGGAGCGGCCTGGTGATGAACGCTACCGGCCAGACAGGGACCATCTGTTGAACAAGGGAGCAGAATCTCGCTCCCGCAAGGTCGGTTTTCCCTTGGAGGTAATCAAGTGATAAAACTGTACGCACAGCCGACAGGTACAAGGTACGCCACGATCATCTTCCAAACTTCAGCAGGCAGCTGCTCGAAATGATAACGACTGGGTGTTTGTCATGCTTCTGGGCTCGAGACCACCGGGTACCTGTTTGCGCCACCGCTCCCCGCTGTTTCGGCCATGTCCAAGTCGGGTTCGCAAAGGATATACTCGTGTCCTTGAGGATATGCCGAGGGAAAAGGCGAATAGCCACCAATCGACATTGCCTTTTGCCTGAGATGTCGTTCATTGTCAGACCTCGACCGGTGGTTGTGGTTAAGCTTGTCCCAGTCCCGCAACCAACGGCCACGAACTTGGCCTCTGATCCCGGTATCGGTCGTATCTTCTCGGTCACCAACTTTGGGGCGCCAGACGTGATCTTCGCCACGTTTGTAACGTCCCTGAAGGCCCCATGGCGTCATGCGAGCTTCGCCTGTGAAGATGAAGGGAACAAGCTCTCGAGGAAAGGGACGACGGTTACAAGGAGGAGGAGGATACCACTCGGATGGCATGTCGGCTACGTTCCAAGATTGCGGATCACCTTCTCCGGATGCCGTCGGATTTGGGCCCATGAAACAATTGTAAGTGGGAAGAGGTTGTAATTTGAAGGGGGTAGGGCGGATAGTGGTTGATCGAAGCGTACTCGCGACCGTTGCCGCCCGTGAGGTTTGTTCTGGAGGGGGGATCCGGAGGTTGTCGGTGGTCGAAGCTGGTGGATGTAGAGATTGGATGGTCCCATGTGAGACTGGAACTGGGGAAATATCAGGTTCGGGAATGGGAACGACATCCATCGGTTCAGACATGGTGACAGACATTGAAACTTGGCCTGCACGCCACAAGGAATAACTTGGATGGGATGATTGTAGGAAGGAACTCGGGTTGTCCTGTCTTCGATGAACAAAAGAATAAGAAGAAGAAAAGAGGAACAGTCGAAGTAAGTATTTCCAAGGCCAGAGCAACTCACCCGAACATGGTCGTTCATCGATGGGGGTTCTGCCGGAGTCGCACACATCTGTTTATTGCTGATTTATCGCTCCATGTCCTGACCGTTTCGAGAAGTCGGATCGGGTCGCCCATGTTGCCAATTTTCGAACGTTTCCATATGTCCGTATGTCCAACCTGTCCCGTCGTCAGGACGCCAATAGCAGTCATGACGGCACAGTCTGCTCCAAATACTCGAAATACTTCTCGTTCCATTGCGCCAAGAACACGTCGTCGAACAAGCCAGGCGCCATATCGGGCGACACCTCACCATGAGGGCAGAAGCTGGGCGGCATGCATTTCTTGTCGTTGACGGCTCGCACAAAGACTTTGATCAGGCATTTGCCACAGATCTTGTGATCGCATCCCGGCCTCGAGAGTAGATTCGCGGTTTCCGTTTTGTCTTGGCAAATGTAACATTTTGGCCTTTGTAAGAGTCAGGCAGGTGTTAGCAGATCTTCCACAACCAGATCAATTCCATCCGTGTTGGATGGATGGCATGCGGATGCGGTGAAACCTTACGTTGGTGGGAAGACCTTGATCCAAAAGTTGTCAATCCGGCTTGCCCTGAATTCCGACGAGTTTGGGTCTGCGGGGATGTGCGCCAGAGTGTCGAACGACTGGCGATAAGACGGCGCTGGCTCTCGCTCGTGCTGTGTTGAATTCCTGTTCGACATGGCTGCTGTTTCGTTGCTGGAGTGGTGTTGTGGAAGATTGAGGAGGGCCCTTGGCGCGATTTGGTTTTTGGCGTGTCCGGTTCTTGACGCATCCGGTCACCGGGATAGCAGCAGAGTGGTATCGCCGTCATCATGACTAATGAAGCTGACGATGGTTCGTTGAGCATCATCGGCAGTCGCTCATTCGTGGACGGGACCTCTCCCTGCAAGCCATGTCTACGGCGCCTTCCAGGCCTTGGGATTGGCTTGTCGTTACCTGTCGCATCCCCTCATGCACTGCAACCACGAGCACAACTGCAAGTCAAACTCGGTGTTTCGGTGTTTCCTTCAACAGCGCAGTTTCACAATCGACCAGGGCATCGTGAACATTTCTTCGTCTTCTCGAAGAACCATGATTTTGGCATATTGTGGTTAATAGGTACTGCGTCCAAGCGCCAAAACATCAAACAATCTCGCACTCGCCCGGCTAGCTCAATCGGTAGAGCGTGAGACTCTTAATCTCAAGGTTGTGGGTTCGACCCCCACGTCGGGCTCAATTCCCGGCGGCGAAATGCGGTTCTTTTTTTTCCCCCCATTTCTTGCACATATGTCAAACATGCGAATCCTTTTTTATCTACCGCTTTTGTTTTTTAGTGTTTTGCCTCGTGCTTGACCGCCAAAAAAATTCTTTTGTCAATAATATGTCTCCAATAGGATCTTCCAGTATTTCTGCGAATCGCTCCAGTACTCCACTCCGCTATCGGCAATGAAATTGGGACATCAAGTAGGCATCAAGCCATCAAGTAATCCAACTTTTGCGCAAAGCTTCAACGAGGGCCAAGTTGCTAATATCTGACCTTCCAAGTCACATTGGAAGTGCACCGACCATGTTTGACCAACCATCACATCACATCAACGCATCGAAAGACATACCCCATATATCCCTTTTCCAGCAAACCCCGACCAGTCTCGACAATACTAGACCACCACAGACATTTATGGCCTCCAGGTCATTACGCCCTCACTACCGAACCTATCCAACCACACCAGTCGTCGGACTGAACCTCGATCTACACTTCCTATTAACGACCGACGTCAGAAACTTACACGTCCGTCCTACTTGACACATTGGATGCAAATGGAAGACCCAATGTTACGGTGTCGAAACCTTAAACACCAGAAGAAAATCAAGATCTACAACGTGGCCCCGCCTTCGCATCTCTTTGTCCGAGGTTACAGATATCAACAACATACGAGGACATACCTAGGGTTGAAGTGCTATGGTTCTGCTATGCCGCTACAGGGAAGCTCCCGCACGAGCTTCTGGAGGTGATGTACCGACGATCCCTGTCCATGCCGCCCTATTGGTACAGCGGGTTTGATGTGTTTTCCTGCCCATGGTGACAATGTGTATCTGACATCTCAAAATCACAGCGCTTGCGCTTCGAACTTTGGCTATCAGGAAAAGAGGGACCAGATGATTCAACAAGGCGAGACATGCCCGGCTGCCAAATGTCCATCCAGTCCAGTCAGTCCCGACATTTGATGGTTGGAACCCGCTGGATCCTCGGGATCAGTGCTACCTCCATGCATGCCTATGCACGACCCTCGAGAACCTACCTCGTCCAACTCGAAACCAAGCACCGACGAGCTTTGCGACGGTTTCCGAACCCATACCCTCAGGCCTCACCGATCGAACCTGGAAGCGCAAGTTCCACAACTACTGTACCTACTTCGTCACCCATTTGCCCTCGTCCTCCTTACATCCTGATTCCCGGCTACAATATCCCGATCATAAGCTCCCGCGATCGGCATCCGTACCACACAAGCAGGATCCCGGTGGGCAGAAGTTTAAGGAGGAGGTAGATAGATGTCACTAGCTAGTGCACAGGCCAAACGTTCCCGTCTTTCGCATCATCGGAGTTGCAACAGTTCTTCTACAAGTAGAGGCAATACTGTATCAGATCTCCTATTTCTGTTATTCTTTCAAAGTGAGAGGAAGAACATACGTTCAGATGTCTTGCCGCATCAGGACCACATTCAATCGATGCAGCCCCGGGGTGTATACAGCTGCTTGATGACGGCAACTCCGCACAAGACAGGGATCTTCCCGCAAGCTGAGCTGTGGAGTGTGGAACGCACCGGCTGCATGTGCCATGTGCGTACCTACGTGGATCAAATTACAACACCTCATGTATGTACCTACAGTTTTACACGCGATTGGCTAGG